AGGCACACACGTGCCACTGTAGTGTCTAGGTCACTGCAAGGCTCTGGTTCTGCTCTGCAAGAGGAAGCCTCTCTGCTGACTCCTGCGGTGAGACTGGAGACTGCTGAGAGACGGCAGGCACGTGGGCTTCCTGTCTGAGGCTGCTTGCTGTGGATTCCAGGGTCCAGGAGAGGGATCCACTGACATCCCGCCCCCCTTAGCAGGCATCCATCTCCTCACTTGCAAGGGCAGTGCCGCCTGGCCACCCAAGCTTCATCTTCTCTGTGGGGCTCATCACCTTCAGTTGAATCATCTCTCCATCCATCCACCCACCCACCCACCCCTCACCCCGGGCCCACAGAGAAGCTTCCTGTGCTGGAGATACAGTCGTGAGTACTCTCCGGCCTCAGGGAGTGCACAGGCTATGGAGGAATTCCAATCATAATCTTAATAACTGATATCGATTGAACCTTCAGATGGGCCAGTTTACAACCCCTCAGGGCCTGCGAGTTCTTTGAGGCCAAGGCCTGGGTGTTTATTTCTGTTCCCCCATGTCTTAGTCAGCTTATGCTCCCATAACAAAATAACATACCGGGTGGCTTAAGCAACAGAAACGTGTTTCTCACACTTCTAGAGGCTGGGGCACCTGAGATCAGGGGTCAGCATGGCCGGGTCTGGTGAGACCCCTCCTCCTGGCTTGCAGGTGGCTGGTTGCCTTCTGGCCGTGTGTTCACACGGCAAAAAGAGACAGGGACTTCCTAGAGGGGCACGAATGCCATCTCGAGAACCCCACCCTTATGATCTAAACCTCACTATCTCCTAAAGACCCCATCTCCAAATACCATCACGTTAGGGGATGAGGACTTCAACCTGTGGAGTTTCGGGGGGCAGGATTCAGTCCATGCACGCTGTGGGTGTTCCGAAACGCTGCCTGAATTGATCTATCTGCTTGAGGTTTCTCCGGCTCCTTCTTGTCCACCAGACCCTGGGGGTGTGTTTAGTGCAGAGAGACACCCAGAGACCTGACTAGCATACTGATCAGCTCTCCCACCAGCCTGAACTCTAATTTGCGGATGGTTTGCTTTTTTCCCCCCCCTCACAACATAATCTCCATGATCTCTAGTCTTTCTCGAATGCTGTTGAAAGGCTTGTTGTATTTATCTCCGGAGAATCCGCCGTGCCCCTGTGCAATTTTCCATTGTCATGGTTCATTTTAATTTCCTCTAAGGCTGTTGGCCACTCTCGTGTTCAGAAATAGCTTGTTCCACTTAATAAAAGCGCTTAAATATGCAGACAAGAGAAGTTTCCTTTGCTTGCTCCTAAACATCACAGTAAATGGAGAGGGTTCCACACCCTGCCTCATGCTGTGAGGCTGAGCCCAGATCATGTGGCTTCTCAGGAAGACCCAGTAAATGTTCAAGGGCATGAACAGAATCCAAGAAGTTTTGGTGAAAACCCAGGCAACCTGGATGCTCCTACAGAGCTGCCTCCCCCTGTATCGTGCTCTGAGCAAAAGTTTTGGCTCTGAGGCTCATTCTACCACTAACTGGCCTTGTGACCTCGCACAAGTCATTTGACCTCTCTGAGCCCCTGCTTCTCTCCTTCTATAAAACAGGCACAGTATTTCCTCCGTTGAAAGATGGGTTTCAGTGAAGAGCGGAAATCTCTTCCTTGCAGGGCTTTGCACAGCACCTGGCAAAAGTCAGGGGGCTCAGCAAGGGGCAGTTGTTTTTTGGGGGGATCCAAGAACATGAATAAACTAAGGAGCCTTGTCAAGAAGGCCATCGTGCTGAAGACTAAAATCTTTCTTTCACATTAGTTTCTCTGGTTGCTGCCACCAGAGAATCTCCCATAGGCAGTGGGTTATCAAGAAAGGACAAAGAGGTGGAAAGCAGGTTGGATCCCCATTCAGACAGGATGGTCCTCGATGGGGCCAAAAATTAGGTTGTTGCACCTTCTGGTGGTGGCTGGGCTGAATTGCAGACCAAGTATCCGTACAGTGGTGGGTTTGCTGACCCGGATGTCCAGGGTCAATGTCTCAGGGCATCTTCCTTTTGCTTAAATTACCACATTAATGACGAAAGAGTACAAGTGACAGGTGGATATTGATGTGGAAATGGGAGTGGGGTGGCCCAGGCACTGACTTAAATCTCTGACAAAGACATGCACCAAGGGCCTTCGTTTTGTTGGCTCGGGAAGCCTGTTCCTGTCTTATTCTGCTCTGTACCTGGTTCTTCCAGTACACGGAAGCCTCCCTGCCCCTAGAGAGCCCCTGAGCTCAGCTAAGGGAGTAGGGGTGGGCAGGAGGCTGAAGACCTACATGCTCTGATCCATGAATGCCCCAGAGACGGCCAGCACAGGCCGTCACTGTTAGAACCCAGCACACACAGCTCACCTGGAATACCACCTTTGCAGAGCTTGGGGGATCACTCTGGGGGGCTACTGTCCCCTCCTACTCATCTATAAACACCCCTGAGTAAGTGAGTTCGGCATCTGCATCACGACCCCTTTCTATCGCTCCTGGGGAGCTAGTCTGTGGATCTAGTTGAGATCACACTTAAGCAGCAGCAGAGACGGCAGCTTCCCCCACCTCCACCTGGGCCTGGCCAGCCTGCAGCTCTTTCTCCAGCTGCTGCCTTCTCTGAACAACACCCCCACTCCACCCTGCTCTACGGCCCGCCCCCAAATGACGCACGCATTCCTTCAAGGTGCACACACGTGCACATAGGTGCCACGTGCGCTCCCCCACGCACACTGCACACAGGCCCATCAAGCCCCAGCCTGCCGTGGCTGCAGGAGAGCGCACCCTGCAGGGCAGGAGTAGCTGGCGGACCCCTGGCTTGCCCTGTGGAATCTTTTCTTCTCCAACGGCTCCAAAACATGGAGTCCCCCAAGGCCACTGTGAGCTTCCCTCCCAGACACTTTTTCCTAAATCAGCTTCCAATCTGACTCATTTCAGTTTTAAAACAAGAAAACATCAACAAACACGATGCAGAGAAACAGATGGTAACAATTACAGGCGGGAGAAAACAGAGCCCGCTGCCTCTAGAAGGGGCAGGCAAACAAGTTGTTCCCCCAACAGTGGTTCTTCCCCAGGACACTCCTGGGTAAACCTGGGGGGGGGGAGGCTCCCAGGGCCTGTCCCCAACGTGCCACTAGAGACCTGAGATCAGCTTCCTCCCTGTGTTCGGGGCCAACTGTGACCAGCTCTGGCCACCTCACAGTACTGTGCGGAAGCCTGTCTCATCCACTAGACTGCAAGCTCTTGAGGGCAGGGCATGGCTCATCAGTCTGGGGGCCATCTGTAAGCTGGTTCTTGAGCCAGGTTGTTGGTTCAGGTCCAAGTTCTGCCACTGACAAGTGGGGAGAGCTGGGATGAGGCAAGGGACCTATGTGTGCCCTCCTTATCTCACCTCCCCAGAGATAATTCTAATACCCAACCATGGACCATCGATTGGTATGTGCAGAGGACTCAGCACCAAGCCCAGAACTGGTGGGTGCTGCATGTAGAACCTCCAATGGTTGCTCCTGCCCACATGGATGGCTGGCTTCTTTCCTGGTGCTCCTTAAAGGCCTGATGAGTGAAGGGTTGGGAGGCAGCCTTCAGCTGCCCAGGAAGGATGCACGGGCCATTCCAGGTACAGGTGCCATCCACTGAACCAGTGCTGAGAGGATAAACCCTGTTGGGGTGGGAGATTTGAGGGACAGGCAGGCAGGCAGGATGCAGGGTCCTGAGCTGCAGTTTGCTATGCTCCATCCTCCTGGACTTGCCGTCGTATGTCCATCTTTATGGTTGGAGTGGGATGAGGCTCTGCTCTCCAGCAGATCAGGTGGTGGAGCGTCAGGCAAGAAATTGAGTGCAACCCAGGGAGCCCAAGTGCCATGATAGGAAAGTATCCTACCCAGCCATGTGGTCCATGGTGGAGCAGAGTGCAGATCATCAGGATGAGGGGTGTGAGCTTGAGAGGAGGGGACCATGTGCTGTTCTAGGCATAGGAGCAAAGTGCCTCTGCGGGTCAGCGAGTCAGAACCACAGGCCCAGGGAGTGAGGGGCCAGAGTCCTGTTCCTTCATTACCGTGTCTGAGGTCTCCAGGCTCAGGCTCCTCATCTTCACTCAGGCAGTTTTGATCCTCTATGTCCCAGGCCTGATGAGGGTCTTGGAAGGATGTGGCTCCTAGCACAGCCCAGTGCCTCCTGCACTGCAGGAGGCTGCTGTGTGCCTGCCTTTTGGAAGGGCTATTCTGCAGGTGCGTGAGTCTTAGACACGTTTGCATAAGAGCGCTCACGCAGCAGAAACAGAGCCCTGCACACCTGAGGCCACCATATCCTCACACAGGCGTCCCCACCGGTTCACACCCCTTGTCTTCTTATGCACCCTGACAGAGGCTGGCACCCACCTCCACTGCTCCAACCCCAGGTCCTCTGCAGAGCCCCCCATCCCCTGGGGATGTGCTGTGGCTGCCATAAAGGGACATCATTCTGGATTCATCAAGCAGGCCCAAGACGAAGGAGAGCGGGCTGTGCTTTAGCCCCCTCCTCACCCCTCCCGGGGCGTGCCACCACCAGCTTGTCTGGAAGTGCCCCTAAAGTGGAAAGGGGTGGCGTTCTGCTGTGCACTGTTTTGGCAGCTCCCTCTGTTCAGCTTAAAGCATATTGACGCCCCTGCTTGTTCTCTTGGGGGGCTCAGCATCTTCACATTTCCCCACCTGGAGGAGTCTGTCCTGTGAGCATAAGAGCTGAGCACGCTCTTCCTTCCTCCTCCTCCTCCTCCTCCTCCTCCTCCTCCTCTTCCTCT